GCGCGATGGGCGGAGTCGCGCCGCCTCAAATGGGCGGCGCGACCCCGCCCATCGCGCCAAACGACCGCCTCCCCACTCGCTCGCGACAGGGGCGAGTGGAGACGCCACTGACGCCCGCTCGAAGAAATCGGTAATCAGTTGGACGACAGGTGGCACAGATAACAGGTCATGGGAGATGTCAGAGGATGATTTTGAAGTGCCTAATTTTCAATGAGTTGAATGAGTTCACGGATGGCACTGTGAGTAGGGTTTCTCGATTTCGTTCCCTCTGTTCAAGAGCTGCCCTGACTTTTCAGTGGGCCCACAAATTCTTCCGTCCCCCTTCAGTGCATTAGACGAATTCGTTTCATGTCGTGATCAATAAATCAACAATTATGCAGAGCTGAGGTGCAAGATTAGTGTTTCTGATTTTGCAAGTCAGGAATACCTCACGTTTACAACGAGGACCCCTCATTTCTCTTTTAGAGATGTCCGAGCGATACAGGCCGGGTATCGAACCTTGAATCTGAGACTTTACTCCTGATTGACAGCGTCTGTTAGTCCTTGTTGCTTATTCACACTCCCGGTAGCCAATAACACCTGTTGAGGAAAACAAATTTCTCCCGGAATAGCTGCTTAGCGGCCACTGCAGATGCTGTAACTGCGATGTCGTCGTCCAATCCCTTCCCTCTCATTCTGAATGCACGAATTCATTTGCGTGAGCGGCAGCTGACCTGGAAGCTTTTGTCTAGTCGTCTCCGAATCCACATCATGGCTGCCCTACTGAGCACGAAATCTCAGTCAAGGTGACGGACAGCCATGTTTAACACTCCGCAGTCGTTTAGAGGACTGGAGCTGTGTTGCCCAGGCAGTTGTGTTTTTCGTGGCATTCAAGTCCTTAAAAGCTCTCTAGGATTCATTGAGGCGAGCGAAAGCGGGCCAAACCATCCGAATGGCACTCAGCGAGTCCGTGCGATTCCATTTGCGACATGTCTCGGGCAATTGTGCAAAGTTGACGAAAACTTTGGCATTCAATATGAGTGTCAAGTGGATATGATGATCCATTACAACGTGCCGTCACCACACGAAATGTTCAATGCTGGCCACCTCCCATCCGTCTGTCGTGCTCTCGTCATGTCGTCCTGCTGCGGCCCGATGCATTAGCCTGGATCTCTGGACCCTTGAAAAGTTCGACGAAGGCCGTGTAAGGGGGGAGGAAGCGTTGACGAGAGAGCCTCGAAGAAGTGTGTTTCCGCAGTCGACGGCCCTAATTGACGCAGTTGGATTTCCGGAGAGATGAAGGAGAAAGGCGCTAAGCCGCTCTATTCACCCGCACAACTTCAACAACAATGGGACAAGAAAATATCTTTGACCACCCTTGTTTTCTCTCAACTTCTCCCACAATCATTTTCCTCCACTTTGCTTCTTTCATATCATATAATGTAATTTGTTGAGTAAAGTCAATTTTTAGCTTTTCTTCGTATGCAAGGCTTACTACCATTTGGCAACTACAGAAAGTGTTCTGAAAGCTCCCGGTATGATGGAGGTGGCGAAGTCGCGGGGGAGCTGGCCAGAAATTCGACCCCAATCCATGAAATTACATCGTTTCGTGCTTGTATTAACTGCGACTCTTCGTCCAAATGCGCTCTCTGAAGTTCCCCCTTCCATTTACTTTCCATTCATAACTGCTACTCGGTCTTGATTAGTTTTCTCCCACTGCCAGTTCTGTCCATTGTTAGCGTCCCCAGCCTAACTGGACAATTGGTTATTGATTAAATAATTCGTGAAAATTGAAATTTTATTCAATGTTCAATACAGACAGGCAAAAACTGCTTCCCACGGGCTTCCCAAGCGCCTGGCTTTGGTTAAGAACAAAAATATCTGTTTTTATAAGTTTCCTGGTTAAGAATAACTACTGGGGATGGGATTGTTCTCAGGAAGGATAACCGTTTAGTTGTAGCAATTATTGAGATCGTAAGAATGTAAGTTTTGGTGGTGTTCTTCCTCAAGTATGTCGTTCCTTCCATTATTTTTGTTGGGCCTTGACTATTTTTCTCAGATGAAGGTTTATCGAGGGGGAACTGCCGGCATTACATCCGTTGGCTGGATTCGATCCATGGAAACCAGGGATTAAGCAATTTTGGCTTCTCCACGTCACGATTCTATTCAGTGAGGGGCAAGTTCTTCCATATGATGGCCATTCACAGCAGGCGATGCATGAAAAGCCCACAGCCGTTCGTTCTTTGGCTCTCTTGCCCATGACAACCGCCGAGAGATGGCCTCGTGTATAACGTGGCTCGTTTACCAACACATGTTTGGCTTATAAACCCTTTGATTTTGACACATTCGCAGCGAATTGGCCAAGCTACATCAGCGGAAAAACAGAACATCCTGGTGTAGGTCCGAAAACAAAGTGGGAATATTTTGCTTGTGTTTTTTAAAACACATCTGCTTATTCAAAGGAGAGGGACGTAGGTCACTCCGCCGTAAGTTTTAGCTGTTGACGGACGCCTGCTCTCAGCCCATCCCCTACAATATCTACCACTTTTTTTCCCAAACGACCGAAAAGTTTCTCGGTCATAGACCTTCTCGCCTGTTGGAGCTATTACCGTCACCATCCTTTTTTGTTACTAGTACCGCTACTGCAATTTACAAGTTATTAGCATTCCCAGAAGAATTTCTTGTCTACCTAATGAAGGTAATTGTAGAAAAGACGTCTGCATTCGCTTGGCGTGTGCCCACTAGCTCCTCGAGCTCTTTTTCCCAGGTCCCCAAATAAAGTCGAGTCGATGGACTTTTTGAAAAATCCATCCAAATCAGGCCCAACTCATTCAAGTGCTACTCACATCTGCCATGCAGCCGAGAGGCGGTGCCGGCAGCCGCCTAACTAGGTTAATCTAGCGAGCAAAGAATGTCAGGTAAGCAAGTTACCACCGATCGTAGGCTTAAGCTTAAAAAGGGATTTAAAAAAGAAATTGAACGGCAGGGAAAGTGCATTGAAGGTAAATAGGTAGTTAGTGCATTTGACTGGCCGAGAGTCTACTTCGTATACCTCTCGGAGAGATCTCGTATTTCGCTTCTTTCGAGCCCCGAATCGATGGCCTTGCCTCGACACGGCCACGCCTTCTTGCACGGAAGTCCAGCCACTCTTTGGAAGAGCGCGTTTTTACCCCCACACGGGTACCGCCCATTTTAGGTTGTCACTAAGCATACTCGTCCTCTGAATTGTCGATCACCTATTTTCTGTTCACTATTGCTTGTTTTGTTCTCATTTTGGGATTTTCACCCGATTGTTTGGCCGTTCCGACTGTTGACTTATCAGAGAGCTTCCAGAAAATCTAAAAATCAAGGATATTCAGTGGCATAACGAAGTTATTGAAATCCTCGTGTAAGGAAACAAACAAACTCTGAGTGAGCCCCGGTTTTTCAAACTCGTCCGGGTGCTTTTCGTGTCCTCGTTGTATTTCGTTTTGACTATGTCTGCCATTCGCTCTGGACGCGGACGGTTGAGCGTTTTCGAGATAAATGAAATACTTGTTCATTTGGATCGTTCCAGTTTCTGACTTTTACGCTTGGAAGAGCAGATGCTTCATCTAATGGCATCGATCTGAAGGCTGCAGGGCAAGGCATGCGCAATTCCGTCCCTCTGGCGACTCGAATAGGGCCTATGCTGGCCCTCATCTGTACCGTCAGCACAATTATGTCCGCAGTAGAGGCCAAGAGGAAACTCAAAGAACAGGAGATTATCCAACGTATTCTCAATAATTACGATTGGAGAGTCAGGCCGAGGGGATTAAATGCTTCCTGGCCAGGTCGGCATTGAATTGCTTACTTATCGCTCTCTACGTCATTTAATATGTTATTGGCACTTAAGATACTGGTGGTCCTGTGCTAGTGACAGTAAACATCTATTTGCGTTCGATTTCGAAAATTGACGACGTTAATATGGAGTACAGTGCTCAGTTTACTTTTCGAGAAGAATGGGTGGATGCTAGGCTTGCCTACGGCCGTTTCGAAGACGAATCCACGGAGGTGAGCCAATTCCCGTTTGGCTAACTAGCGCCATAAGTCATACTTTGATGGTTTCAGGTGCCACCATTTGTAGTGCTGGCAACCAGCGAGAATGCCGACCAGTCACAACAGATTTGGATGCCGGACACATTCTTCCAAAATGAAAAGTACGGGAGGGAACATGACCTTCCAATTTATTTCTCTTTCCTCCCTCATTGACACTTTCACGACTAAATGGCACTCCCAGCAACGCACAAACAGCCATGCTTTCTGGCTTCAATCCTCCTACTGCTCTCGGTTGGCTGAAAATAAGTTTTTATTCTTTTCAGAGAGGCACGACGACATCTGATCGACAAGCCGAACGTGCTCATTCGAATTCACAAGGACGGCTCGATCCTTTACAGCGTTAGGTTCGTCGCCACATGTCGCTACGTTCCAATTTCCTTTGCCTTTGCCTAACAAGGCGCAAAAAGCAGCTGTAAACACTCGTCTGTGATCTCTGAACATGACTCGGGAATGCTACCGATACTCTCTTTATGCCTTAGGTTATCTCTTGTGCTGTCCTGCCCGATGTCATTGGAGTTCTACCCGTTGGATCGACAGAATTGCCTTATCGATCTCGCATCATGTAGGTGTTTTTGTCTGAGTCGCTGTCAACATACACAGCCGTAGCGGATTTCCACTGCAAGCGGCTTAGAGGTCGTCTAGAGCAAGCCTTCAATGTTTGTCACTTCAGATGCGTACACAACGCAGGACATCAAGTACGAATGGAAAGAGCAGAATCCGGTCCAGCAGAAGGATGGCTTGCGTCAGTCGTTGCCGAGTTTCGAATTGCAAGATGTCGTCACCAAGTACTGCACTAGTAAAACCAATACCGGTACGTCTCTAATGTTGGTTAGGCACTCGTCTACCCA